TTTTTAATTTATTGTAGAGACGAAGTCTCATCGTGTTGCCCAGGCTGGTCTCGAACACGTGGGCTCAGGCAATCCTCTCATCTCAGCCTCCCAAAGTGCTAGGATTATAGGCATGAGTCACTGTTCCTGGCTTTACAAAAAAACGTAAAAATTAACCAGGCTTGGTGGCACATGCCTGTAGTCCCAGCTACCAGGAGACTGAAGTGGGAAGATCAGTTGAGCCCGGGATGTCAAGGCTGCAGTGAGCCATAATCATGCCACTACACTCCAGCCTGGGCAGCAGAGTAAGACCCTGACTCAAAATAAATAAATAAATAAAAGAATTACCCCAACAGCCAAGTCCCAATCACACAACGTCACTCTGCCGAGCAATCGAAGTTTTTCTATTTTTATCAGCCTCTCCTTGGGCTCTTGCAGTCCAGTGATAATCCTCTCCTGGCACTACAGGGACCAGAAGTTAAGAATCCTCTGGGTTATAGTGCCTCAACCTTGGCCGCCTACAAACCTGGGGAGACCTACTCTTGCTCGAACTCAAGACCTCCCTGCCTTTTCCCACTTGCCTTGGTTAAGAGAGACCACCACACCTGATGGCTCAACCATACAGCTGAAGGGGCTTTAGGTCCTTGACTGACAGCAGCTCACAGAAGCACACTGGGTCCACTGGCTCACTCTCTATCTGAAGGGGCCCACGACTTTGATCCTTAAGTGTAGAGACCCAGAATGACAGGCAGTTCTAGTTTATGTCTTTATGTTACGTCTTCAGTTTCCAAATCACAGAATTATACTATGGTAAAGCTGAATGGAGTTTAGGGATCATGTAGTTCAGACCTTTTTCATCACACTGGATGATTAAATAATGGTTGCAAAGGCACAAAGGCTCCTCTCTCCTTTCTCTTTGGAGCAGGAATTGGGGTCAAGAGGACCAGGTGCAGGACTTGCTATAGCCACGCCCCTTAATCCTGGCAGTGCTGAGCAAGGGCTTCCATCCCAGTCCCTCCATCCAGCCAGCTGTCACACTGAGGGTTAGGATGGCAGAGGAGGAAGGTGATGTGGATGAGGAGGATGTGTTCCTGGCACTTGCCCAGGGTCCTTCTCCTCCCAGGGGTCCCCTGCGACGCGCCATGGACAAGGCCTTCCTCATCTTCTTGGCCCTTTTTCTGATATTACTAATGCTAGAGGCTGCTTATAAGCTGCTGTGGTTGCTACCGTGGGCAAAGTTTGGGGACTGGCTCCTGTGGACACCTCAGAAGGAGGAGGAGCTGGAATTGTGACCACCTTTCCTACAAACATCTTCTTCCCCGTCACAGAGGTGAGAGGGGAGACAGGAGGGAAATGGGAGTGTTGAAGGAGACATTTGGATAGCTTAGGGCAGTAGTCTTAAAACTTCTGCACCTATACTTGGGGAAATAATTTTGAAGAAGTATATACACCCTCATGTATTTTTAAGTAGACATCTACAATTTTTCATCATAAAATTGTTTCAAGGAGGTAATTCTGGCATATTGAAAATATTTACATTTTAAAATAAAATCACTTTTTAAAATATTTTCTTTATTTTGAGTCAGAGTCTCATTCTGTTGCCTGGGCTGGAGTGCAGTTCACCACAGCCTCGACCTCCTGGGCTCAGGTGATCCTTCTACCTCTGCCCTCCCCAGTAGCTAAGACTACAGGCATGTGCCATCACTCCTCGTCATTTCTTTTTCTTTTTCGAGGCGAGGTCTTGATATGTTGCCTAGGCTGCTCTCAAACTCCTGGGCTCAAGTGATTCTCCCACCTCAGTCTTCCAAATTGCTGGTATTACAGGAGTGGGCGCCTGCCTTTTTTTTTTGAGAGAGAAAAAGAGAGAGAGAGAGAGAGAGAGAGAGAGAGAGAGAGAGAGAGAGAGAG